GTTGAGCTCAATTCACTCATGGAACTAGAGAAGACATTAGGTGTGGATTTTCCAAAGGAGAGGAAAAAAGGTGGGGGGGAGGGGGAGGGGAGTCCTTTGCTCTAATGCTAAACCCCCTGAAGCAGTGTGTCCTCTATTAACCCAAAAATCAAGCTAGTCTTCCTAGGTTTGGTGGCAAGCCACACCTCCTCAGGAACACGCTGGACTGTTCTGCTGGGATCCCGACCTGTACCCTGTATGACCCTGAGCAAGCACATACCTGGCCTCGGCCTTCCTGCTTCAGCAGTTCTCTCCCTACTTTCACCTAAATGACCCCATTCCCCGCTTCCTGTCATGGAGAAAATATGGCCAAAGGCAAGTTGTACTTGAACAGAAAAACTGGGTCTCTTTCTAAGTCCAGTGAAGATGCTTCCTGAGTCCTTATTCATTCTAAGTAAAGACTCTCAGTCCTTGGATAATAAACCAATTCTAGGCGGCACAACAGGATGATGGGATCACTTGCTCCCTGAACATATTCCCTTTGGGAGAATTTTCACGTTGTACAAATGAGTATTGGAATGCCCCTCTCTTCTCACATTCTCCTCCACAAACCAAGAGTTTAGACAAAAATTTTGTCTTATTTCAACGAAAGGTTTATTTTTGTTGTTGTTGGTTTGTTTGTTTTGTTTGGAAAACAGTTATTTCCCAAGAAACCTCTATTACAATATTGTGTAATATTCTTTGCTAGGTTAAATGGTTGTTTCCTTGGCCGCTCAGCCGCACAGACTCAGTTATCTCATTTGTACAATGGGTATAATAATCATATACCTCAAGGGCTTGTGTGAGGATTACATGAGAGGAGAAAAAAAGATCAAATTAGTTTGTAGACAATAAAGCCCTAGACAAATATCAGGTGTGGTTATTGACAATATTTAAAAGGTCATTCAATTGACGAAAGTCAGATCAGAAGTCAAGGAAAAATTAGTTGGAATCTGAGGCTATAGTCAACGTCTTGAGCAGCGGGAAGATCCCAGGTCTCCCATCATTCTGCGCCCTCCACAGGCAGGCTCTGGGGAACAAGCCTTCCCCGGCCTCGTTCCCTTCACCACTCCAGCGGAATGCTGCCGAGTCAGCACCCTCTTGTAGAGCAGCCGAAGAGACTGGTGACAAGAGAACTGATTTATAGTTTCATGTTTCACTGCTCTAGCTCTTCCCTGCCACGCAAAGTGGCATCGCTGCACCTGTCTCGCACTAAGTTTGAAACCTAGGAAATGACCTCAAAACTGAATAGCAGCAAAATCCATAAGCCATCATTTAAATGGCCTATTGACGCAGTGATTCTAACAGAGGCATTTCTGGTTTTCAAACCCTAAAGAAAGGAGAAGAACCCACGAGAGCTATTCAGCACTCTGTCGCCGTGGGAACTTGTATTTTGTAAGACCTTGAGGTTGGAGCATATATCTCAGCCTGTGTTTTGTATGGCGATACCATAGGCTTCCACCAAGCCATTGTTATTTTCTAAACAGCGTTTTGCTTCTAAACATTTGCTAGTCAGCCAGCTAGGTTAAAGGTTAGGTGCTGCTGGAGCCATGGAACGAGGTTTCCTTTTTGCGAAAGAATGCCATCTCTGAACAAGTCCAGTCCATACCTGTTTTAATCAGCTGAAGAAGAGGACCGTTTTTTGAGGAACCAGCCTAAAAGTTTCATTATGAGAAATGAAGCTGTAGCCGTGACTATTCTTCATTAGCACTTTGCCATACCCTAAAAAATACAAAAGAATTGTAATTGTACGGCTACATTCCTTTGCATTTGTTTGTTAGCCATCTTAAAACATTCGCTTTGGGGGATAAGAGAGGGAAACACGGCTAGAATTGAGAAGACATAAGTAAAGAAAGCATGATAAGGCTTAACAGGAAAGGGTCAGCAACTTAAATGAAGGTCAACGATTTTAAACAACTGTATAGATAAGACCTAGCACAGAGAACAATTCAAGACAGCCAAACCCCAAATGGGATAACAAAGTCCAAAGCAAAGTCATTGCAAGAGTTTTCCACAGTCACTCGGAGGCCTTGTGAATGGCAGCATTCCTCTGCTCTTCTTATTATGATTAATCTTTTATTAAAATGTAATCAAAGGTCAAAGGCCAGATCAGTCTAGTATAATTCTAAAGCCTGCTCTGTCCCTAACCAATCACTTCTCAGAACTTATCTGAAAATGGAAAAGGTGGACCAGATGGACTTTCTCTTGTTCTTCCCAAACTTAGGATTTTTATGATGCTTAATATTTTGCTTGTGAATTTTGTGAGGAATTTGTACAGAATTCCCTAGTAACTAGGAGACCCCTGGAGATCTGGATATAAATAGAGCTATGGTCATAGGGGACTTGACTCACCAGTTTCATCTTTTTATAAATGGTAAAACTTAAGATCATTAAAGAATTCCTACTTTGTTGAGTGATACTCAATTAAAATACTTAGAACAGACGAAGCTGTGCCTGCTCAAACTGACTGATCAATCCTGACATTTATTTCAAAAAACTCAAAAAAGATCAAAAGCTAGGTACAGGACATTGTCTCTTTACAACAATGAGAAAAGCAACAATACACGGGGAAAGTGAGCAATTTGGTTTGAGTGAGTCAGATTTTTTTGAAATCATTTTCTTCTAAATCTTTGTATTCTTCAAAGAATGCAATAAAATGCATACAAAGGAAGGCCTGGCGATAAGCCCTACTATTTAAGAAGGCATTATTAATGTCCCATAATGATGATATTTCCTTAATTTGAAGAAGTGGAGACAGAGAGAGAAATTTGTAATGTTGAAAGAAAATACTTCTGCATTGTAGACTCTCAATAAGTATTGATTGGAACTCAAGAACCCTTCTACATCCAATTCTTCTCCCACTGTTGTAATTACTGTTCATTCATTCCGTCAACAAAACTCTATTAAGTCCCTGGACTGTAAAATGAAATTTACTAAGAATATGAAGATAAATTGGATGGGTCCTGTCCTTGAGGAGCTCACAATTTAGGGAGCTAATTCACTTACCACTCAAAAGCAGCAAATTTGGTATGTACCAGGACTGAAGTAATAAGCCTAAAGGAATATTTTGTGGCACACTGATTCATGTTTTAGATAAATCTGGGGCAAACTTTTTAGCAAACCTAACTTCTTTGTAAATGGGGACTCCCTCTAGAAAAAATGTGAAGATTAAACATGAAAATAAATATAAAGGTGATATTAAAAGCCTAAAGCACTATCATCAGGCTGAATATAATGACACAAGTAAGTTCCAAATTCTAAGAATATTCCAAATTCTTCACAGCAGAATCAAAGGTTAGAGCTGGAAAGAAATATGGAAATCATCTAATCCAATCTTCCCATTCTACAGACTAGAAAACTGAGGTTCTGGGCACTAAGGAACTTACCCAAGAATTCCCAATGTGTTAGTGACACAGTCAGATCTCTTTTCTCACATCACCCTCTGACTTGATACAAAGATGTTGCCATAGGTATTTCCTATCCCATATGCGTGGCAAAAAGAAATGTGATGCATTGCTTCTTTGGGCAGGTATTTTTTATGGTGAGCAGCTCGTTGGAAGTTCAGATATTTGCTCACTTGGCAAACATCTTTGGGGATGACGACTAGCCGCCCACAGAAAGAAAACCACAGCTTTTGAACGAGGCTTTGAGTAAAAGTTTAAGCAGCAGCAATAAATGGCAAGTGGCAACGATGGCCTCCGATCAAAGAACAACCTTTCCCTGGCTACAGTGCCGTCACCACTACTGGTCGTAAAACCCCAGGAAAGACCATTCATGGCGTAACCTTAGAAACAGGATGTGACTATTGCTCGATCCCGAAAAAAAAAAAAAATCATGAGATTATCCAAGCCCCAATCGTGCCAAAATCACAGACAGAGGATGTTCAATGAAATGGCAGTTCTGAGAAATCCACTTGATTTCATATTCTTAGCTAGATTCCGAGAGTTGGGAGAATAACCAAGTAACGTCTTCTCTGCTAGTACTTTGTCTGTAGGACACGATTGAAAATCACGTTCAGAAAATAATAAAAATAAAAAGATTCCCTTAGCTCCTCCAGCTTCCTTCGGTTATACAGTAAAGTTCCCCAATAATGGAGCCATCTGACAGCCTCAGTGTCAGCTCTGGCTGGGGTGTGATGGAGCAGAGACTCCCAGGCTCGGGAGACGCACAGCCTAGATCCCAGGCTGCGCGCTGCTACTAAAATGCTGTGCGGCTGCAGGCGTGTGTGTCTGCGGACCCTCCTGAGTCTCGGACTTTCCACTGTGTCATCAGGGCGTAGCGATATCTCCTAGCGCTAGACAGACAAGGGTACCGATCGGGCCCATGGTGGCAGTCATTTCGCTAAACCTCCATCTAGCAGGGGGAAACCGCAGGGGGGTGGGGGGTGGGGATGGGGATGGAAAATGGGCCCTTCTGACACGCCAGTGCCCACGAGGGTGCCCTCGGGGCCAGGGCCTGCGCTCGCAAACAGGAAGGGTCGGCTCCGCTGCAGTTTGAGTCCGGTTTTCGAGATCAGGGACGGTTTTCTTATTTCTCGGGCGGCCACCGCTTTCCCAACACGTGCCGCATGCAAAGCAACCAGCGCGGCCTCACTGAGCCCGGGAGCAGAGCGAGGGTGGTTGGCGATCGCCCCTCCGAGGGCCACGGCCAAGGCGTTTAGCGTCGTTCCCAAGGCAACTGTTTGTCCCCGAGCGGGAGAGAAGGAGCCAGCCTCGCACCCAGGCTTTTCAAGCGCGCGCGGGC